CCTGGACCCGATCCTGGACCCGATCCTGGTCCTGGTGCCCACCCTGTCCCCCGGTGCCCCCGCAGGCCGGGACTGCCTGGGCTGTGCCAAGACAGGCAGTGGGAAGACAGCAGCGTTCGTGCTGCCGGTGCTGCAGGTGCTGGCTGAGGATCCCTACGGCATCTTCTGCCTCGTGCTCACCCCCACCAGGTACCGTGTGCCCGGGGGGGGCTGGGGGGTCCCCGTGCCCTCCGGTGCCATCCAGCCCTCCCCTCCCTGGCAGGGAGCTGGCGGCCCAGATCGCCGAGCAGTTCCGTGTGCTGGGGAAGCCCCTGGGCCTGAAGGTCTCCGTGGTGGTGGGCGGCCTGGGTGAGTGGCACGGCCGGGCCGGGGAGGGGCACAGCTCCCGGGGAGGCTCCTCTGCCCTGGGGCTGCACCCTCGGGCTGAGGGGCAGCTCTGGCACCCGGGGTGGTGGAGGATGGGGGGAGTGAGGAGGGGGATGTTCCAGCTCCCTGGGGTGCAGGGTTCTGGGGTTGTGTCCTGCCCCTGCTCAGCTCTGCTGTCCCCAGACATGGTGGCACAGGCCCTGGGGGTGTCCTGGGGCCATATCCTATCCCTGCTCAGCTCTGCTGTCCCCAGACATGGTGGCACAGGCCCTGGGGGTGTCCTGGGGCCTTGTCCTGCCCCTGCTCAGCTCTGCTCTCCCCAGACATGGTGGCACAGGCCCTGGGGGTGTCCTGGGGCCGTGTCCTGCCCCTGCTCAGCTCTGCTGTCCCCAGACATGGTGGCACAGGCCCTGGGGGTGTCCTGGGGCCTTGTCCTGCCCCTGCTCAGCTCTGCTCTCCCCAGACATGGTGGCACAGGCCCTGGAGCTCTCCCGTAAGCCCCACGTCGTCATCGCCACCCCGGGCAGGCTGGCAGATCACCTCCGCAGCTCCAACACCTTCAGCCTGAAAAAGCTGAGGTTCCTGGTAAGGCACCTCTCTGTTTGTTTGATTTTTTAATTGTTTTTAATGCTTTTAAGGTTTTTAGGCCTGTGTGTTTGATGTTTCTGGCTGGGCCCCCAGGTTCTGGACGAAGCGGACCGGCTGTTTGAGCAGGGCTGTGCTGACTTCACAGCAGACCTGGAGGTGATCCTGGAGGCTGTGCCCGCCCGCAGGCAGACCCTGCTCTTCAGTGCCACCCTGACAGACACCCTGAGGGAGCTGCAGAGCCTGGCTGCCAACAGACCCTTCTTCTGGGAGGCTGCATCCGAGTAAGTCTTCATTTAACTCTGCTGAGCAGGTAGAGAGTCCTGCTGACCCCAGAGCCCCAGCAGGGTGGGGCTGGGAGGCACCCTGGGAGCATCTCCTCCCACCCCCTGCTCCAGCAGGGAGCTGTGCCCAGGGTCACAGCCAGGCAGGTTTGGGATCTCTCCAGGGCAGGAGACTCCACAGCCTCTCTGGGCAGCTGCTCCAGGCTCTGCACCCTCACAGCAGAGTATTTTCTCCTCCTGGTCAGATGGAGCCTCCTGGGTCCCAGTTTGTTCCCATTGCCCCTTGTCCTGTCACTGGGCACCACTGACAAGAGTCTGGCCCCAGCCTCTTGCCCCCCTGGG